ATCCTACACTGCTGATTACTGGGGATGTGATTTCATGAAACAGACCTTTGACTCCTGGTGTAAAAATTAAAAAGTTGTTGAGGATTGCTAGTTCGGCTGCTTCTTTGTCTTTTTCTTTTGTTTGTTGTAGATTTTTCATTAAAGAAGCATCATTAAAGTAATTTTAAAACGGTTTATTGGAAAACTGAAGCGATGCATTCTGGGTACATGACGGATTTGATTTGTGACGGAAACCAAAGCACCGAGTACAGGAAACTATCTTCCCTTCAAAATAAGAGCTTGGATTTTAAAGTTTTCCATGTAGTTGTTCCAGTTGACCACTAGATGTCAGTATTCATCAGCATAACATCTTTAAATCATTTCTGAGTCTCTAACCCCGTTTCTTCGACCAATTACATCAAGTATTGAGCTCCAGTGTTTAAACTTTATTTTTTTAAAATGGAGCTCCGATTGTAAAGTAGAATAAATCAATACATACAAAATTTTAGTATGGATTACAAACGTTTACTGTTTGTTGGGACAGGGAGTACTAGACATTGCCTTCCTGCTACATAAGCAGACACAAAGCATTGTGGGAAATCAGAACCGTGACCCAAAGCAACAGTCAGCAGGATGTATACCTTCACAATAAATGTGTTTATCTGGGAGGGGTGCTGTAGGAAGGATCATATGTGTTGTGATTCATTGACTGCCATACCTTCTGCTGTTCAAGATAATACTGACTGGTAGATAATTAGTTATTAGCAGTACTGCATTTTAATTTTAGAAAACACAAATATGAATGTGAATTATAAAAATAAGTAAGACCGCTAAAGTGCAAATGAAATATTTAGGTCCGCAATTACCAGATTTGTGCTGTAGCGGGCTGGTGCCCACCACTGCCATTATGTCAACACAAGACAGGGTGAGTCTGTCCCACACCACACTTCACCAAGCTGGGGCACCAGGTCAGTTATTGACCAACATTTATTCACCTTTTTAATCAGACTCATATTTACTGAAGTGTGAGATCATATAACAGTGAATTCTTGTTTCAAACCAAAATACTCAAAGATGAGGAAGAAGCTTGGTCTTTTATGGCAATTTATTACAAAAATATAGTAAGAATCAATTGAATTGAATCATGAATAAAAACAGTAAAAATAAAAACATGAAAGACGAAGCAGTAAGGTTTCTAAAACAGTTAAAGGTGACCTAATATGAGAGTCCTAGAACATCCTAGCTACAGACATCAGTCTCACACAGCTAAAACCGACTGAAAGCTGTTGGAAGAGTGAAGTTTATACAGGTCAGCTTGTATTAATTGTCTGTAATTTACACAGATTTCCCCTCATTTTGTAGGTAAAACTCAGTTTCAAATTTATTTTACATATCAGAGTCTGTATGATGTAAAAAAAAAAACAATAAACAACATCAAATAATCTTCCAACCCACTCTGCTGCTAGAAATAGGTTCTCCCTTCCTCCTGCTTCTCTATGCCATCATCCCTGTGGCCTGCACCACCCGCAGGTGGGAAATATGGATTTTTTTAATGAAAATTATGAATTTTTGAGGCTCATTATACAGGTACATGTTTGGAAATTAGAACGCATGGAAATTCTGTGTATAATGCAATATAAAAGAAGCAGAAGTCCCAGAAAAAGATTTAAAAAATAGGTTTTAAAGAAGCAAATCACAAAACAGTCTGTCCCAACAAACGCTCCACTCGCAAGACACTAATGTACCAGTTATTTTTATTGTCAAATCAGTCTGACACAAAATTAAGCACACCCACAGCTGACATCAATAATATTAACTATAATACTAATAATAATACNCATAGGTTAAGAATCTCTGATCTAGGCCACAGTGAGTTCCATATAAATGTCCTGAGTGTCGTCACTGGAGGTRGTCCAGCTGTGCTCCATCAGTACAGAACCAGGAGAGACGGACACTGTAACGCTCATTTTTCTGTGATTTGAACCCTGTGTGTTCTGTCTGTTTCAGGTCCAGAGAGTGGGATTATATTGACAAAGCAGAAAAAAAGCGCATCTTGCAGAACTCAACTGATGACGGTGAATTCTGGTGAGAGCCCTGGATTTACCTGATGCAGTTCAAATAATAAAATGTATAAGTTTTAATATTAGATCTGTGAGCTAACAGGTACTGTTTCATATAATCCAGTCTTATTTAGCTTGGATAAATAAGTAAATTATTACAGTTTTTATTTAAAGCACTTTTTTACATAGTTTGATAAATGAAGGCACTTAAATAAGCATCAACTTAAAAAAAACACTTCTGATTACTAATCATTGTATCAGTCTGATGACATGTACCCAGTTTTCCCTGAGTTTATGTGGAAAAACTATGAAGAACTAATATCTTACCTGCTGTAGATAGCTTTTTGAACAACCTCAGATTAAAAAAAAACAAGTTTAAATTCAACAAAACTGACTGAACTGAACTACGAGCAAAGCTTATTGCTGTTATTTTAAGACCAGGATTGAACATTTCTGATTTAAACATTTATGATGTCACTTTCACTGCAGGAGCCTATTGCACAAATCTGGGATAAAGCAGGATTTAGGTGTAAACCTGAATTAATTAAGCCTTGAATCAGTTGCACTTGTTGGTACCAAGTGCTCTGAAACTAACCTGGTCCTCACCAGGTTTAAAGTGGAGTTTATTTAATCTGCTAATCTGTCACTTTACTGCAGAAACCGCAGTAATATCAGCTAAAAAGTATTTTGATCTTGTTTTGACACTGATATACTGAGATCAGAATAAGTTGGATTATTAATCTTGTTAGTCTGAAAAGCTTTCTTTATTTGAAAATGTTTTACCAAGTGAAGCTGTCAAACTGCAGATTATTAATTATTATTAATTCAATAAGATTCAGAATCTAATCTAGTATGTTAACTTGTTTTTACAAGCCTAATTTTTGCAGTGTCTGATCAGAAATCAATGTTGTTTTTTTCTTTGCATTAAAATATTACAGAGTAAATTTATTTATTTAATTTATTTATCAGATTATCTGTGAAACACAATAATTACTAAAGTCTGAACCTCAGTTCCAGCTTTAAAATAGTCTCAGAGCCTGACATGCCATTGCTCCAAGTCCCCCATG